GTTCTTATTACTAAAAGTGAATTTCAACAATAAGAACCACTTGGCTGAAATTTTTCGGTGCACTAGGCCCTTGTTCATTGATTGGCAATTGCACCCATTCTATGGGGAACTAGCAGCATAAACTTCTAAAGCATTTATTAAGCAGAATCACAGAGCCTGCATTTGTTACATACTAATTTAAGTAAACTTCTCAAATAAAAAATTAACTAAAAATAAGAATTCTGAACTGTCAATTTCCCCAAAAACCCAATTTTGTTTTCATGTTCCAAGCCTAAGATTCAGGTTAGCTTTCATTTGGATGAGGAAAAAGGTAAAATTTTAACTAAAAAATTCAGTAGAAAATTTGAAAAAAGTGGTAGCTCAACCACAATAACATGATATTAAGCCAAAGAATTCGTTGGGATCTTCCTATTTAATCTCAAAGACATACCAAATAACATGTGTAAGACTTCCAGAAGATGTTCCAAGAGTCTTCTTGCAAAGGGTTCCAGCAAGCAATTCCCCCTTTCCTATTCGAACTTGAGTATCCTAGGAGTTATAAATTAGATATTTAAATCATTTAAATAAAGAGTGAATAATATAATTATGTTAAGTAATGTGTTAAATATTAAGTAATATTTAATAAATTTAAAAATATCAACTAATAAATTAAATTTTAGAGATAAATAATATAATATATTTTAATTATTTATGTTAATAAATAATATAATTATATTAATTAATGAGTCAAGTGTTAAATAAGATTTAATAGATTAAAGAAATTCAACTAATAGATTAAAATTTAGATATAAAATTAATTTTTTAAAAATTACAAATTAATTAAAATATAATCATTTTAATTATTCAGGTGGCAGGAGAATGTGTGTTTTTAAGTATTAGCAACATGACACACGTTGGTGATAACTAGTAGATTTGAAATTCAAATAAGTTTTAGCAACATATTGCATGTTGCTAATAGAGTGGTAAACTTTCAACAACATGGTTTATGTTGTTGAAAGTTTTATGTATACCCCACCTTCAAGCTTCTCCATTCATTCTGCAATTCTCCTCTCCTCCCTCCATATCCTC